CACGTGTTTTGTTAAATGGGTAGAAATAACTACAAAAATATTTAATATAAGTAATTAAAAATTGCCCCATAGTAAACTAGACTAAATTTACTTCAAGAAACAAAGTAGAGTTTGCCATTGTTGGAGTAGAGTTTTAAAACGGTTTAAAGTAGAGTTGTATGTAGAGTTGTTGTACGGTTTAAAGTTTTAGAGTAGAGTTGTAAAACGGTTTAAAGAGGGCTATTGAGCTGATGAACTCAGCTAAATTTCGATTGAAAAAAAATCATAAATTATTTGTGATTTTTTTTTTTTATCACCCTTCAACTATACTACAGTAACTCCACTTTTAGGGAAACTTCCTCTTTTAATAAGCTATAAGCCCATGTTAATTAAGTTGATGTTAAATTTTGAGATTCACCTCGATTTGTGTAAAAAAAATATGTGATTTTATATCCTGTCACCTAAAGGCAACCATGTTTTAAAAAAAAGGTCTACAGTAAATTATTGAAAAGCTTTCATTTCATTTTTTCCCCATGACCTGGGATGTATTATAATAAGTACAAATGTATTAAACACATTTAATTAAAAAAAAAAAAGTTAAAAATAATAGAGGAAAGAGATGGTTAAAGCCGACGTTTCGACCCGACTTTGCAGATCTTCAAGGAGGGTGCATGCAGCATGGAGTTCCATTAAGTCTCTTTATGGCCACCTGGACCATCTCCTTCCTCTAAAATATACAACAGTTAAATATTAAGTATTCAATACAGTTAATACTATGCTTACTCACGAGTATTTAATGAGGAAACTCAATGGATTCCCTGCGGGGTACCTCTCACTGTGAACCATATCTTAGCCGAATGTTATGCATTCCAATCTCTTAGGGATCAACATCTTTTCAGAAATAGCCTTGAAGAACCACTCCAAAAGGACCCCAATGGTATTAAAAACTTAATATTGCTCCCTAAGGAAATTGAAATATTTCACAAAATTGTAATCACATCTACAAATTTGTACAAAATATAATCGCAGCCTTTAATTGTAAATATACCTGTTAATTTTTCTTATTTTAATCTTAATTTTTAATTATAATGGTTATTCAATTTTTCTTCTTGTAATTTTTAGTATTTAAATTGTACTTTTTAACTTTTCTTCTTTTGATATTAATTTTATTTTTTAACCCGTATTTTTAGCTTATATTCTTGAGATCACTAACCTTTTATTTAAATACCTTTGTTAACTTATCTCTTTTCAATCTTTAATACTTAATTTTAATGTTTTTTGTCAATTTTTCTTCTTGTACTTTTTAATATTTAAACAGTACTCTTTAATTTCTCTTCTATTAATATTAATTTTTATTTTTTAAAAACGTATTTTTAGCTTTTGTTCTTAAAATTATTAACCTTTAAACTTTAACTATCAATTTTTATAACTTTAATTTAATTGTTCTATCATATTCATCTGTAAATATTTTTAACTTTCTAAACTTTTGTATTTGTTAGCTGTAGTTTTGTTATGTATGCCTTTGTAGTGGTTGATCCAATTGCAATAAATGGCGAACATGAGCCAGGTGGCTGAACATCCCAAAACATTTATAAATAAAATAAAATACAGTTAAAAATAATAGTTTTTTTAATATTTATCACCTAAAATGATAATGAAAGTCTTTTGTTAACAAAGATCTCTGTTATAGATATGATCCGTATTTATAAGTGGCCGACTAAATGTTCCTAATTCTAGTATTTACATTTTCGTGAAAATAATTGAAGTAATCAAGAAGTTCTTTTATCTTAATAAGTAAATATTAGGATTAGAAACATGTAGCTGTTCACTTATTCTAAATAGAGATATTGGTAAAAAACACAGTTTAATTATCACTTTACATGATAAACATTAGAAAAACTATTATTTTTTTTTATAAATTAGTAGTGTATTTATGCATTTATGCTAATTATATCTCACCCCAGGTCATGTAAAAAAAAGAAATGAAAGATTTTCAATAATTTGTTGTTGTCATTTTTTTCTGAAAACATGGTTACTTTCAGGTGACAGGATATCAAATCACATAATTTTTTTACTCAAGTTAAGGTGAATCTCAATTATTCTTTCTAATAAACCTCAACCTAATTGATATGGTAACAGTATTCATAACTGATCAACTAAATGATTCTAGTCCCAAAATTTACGTTTAAAATACCTCACTATAACTAATGTTCATGTAACAGATTGTTGTAATACTCAATATTATATTTCCATGAATACTTAAATATTAGGATCAGGAAGATTTAGTATGTCACCTATAAATACAGATCGATTTCTATGAAGAATATGTGAATTATTATTTTTGAAAAAATAGATTTTATGAATAAAAAGTTTATTTAGGCAATTATGTTTATTATAATACATTCCAAATCATGAGAAAACAAGAGACCTTTTTATCATTAACGTTCTTTTAGGAACTTTTCACGGTGAAATTAAACAAAAAAAAATGCCTCAAATAACAAAATATAGTTGTATTGAATAAAGCAGAGCTGGGCAAAAAGTATTTTAAATTAAATATTTTAAAATACTAAGTATTTTCATTTTCTAAAATACAATTTTAATCACCTAGTATTTCAATTTCTACTTACTTTTAAAGTACGTCACCTTATTAATTAATTTACCAAGTATTTAAATTGCCAATACAAAATACTTTTTATGTAAACAATTTATTTGGTGATTAAAATTGTATTTTAGATAAACAATATACTTGGTGTTTTAAATAAAGTATTTTAAAATAGTTATTTGTCCAGGTCTGGAATAAAGTAACAAATAATTCAAACTGTTTAAATGAACAAACTTTATTAGTATATTGGAAAGATGTAGTGGCTATGAATATAATAAAGGTAAATGTAAACCATATATATTTCAATTCAACATGACAAAAATTAAAAATAAAATTATGATTTGCGTTTATTTAATCAATGCCTATGAGAAAAACAACTAAAATCCTCCTCCTTTCTATAAATGCTTAGAATAAAGAAACTGATATCATCCATTGCAAATAGGAACAACACATCCCATATCACAGAAAAACAAGAAATACTTTGCAACAGTTAATTGTAGTGATTTTTGCTGAAAACATGAGTACATTTAGTTGACTGGTTAAAAAATCACATGATTTCTTTACACAACTGTGGTGAAACTCAAATTTTTCAGTATAAACATCAAACTTAATTAATATTGACTTAAAGCTTATTAAATGGGAAAGTTTTTCTAAAAGTGGGCTAAAAGTACTACAGTTGAAGTGTTATAAAAATAATTTATTACTTTTTTTAATCGGAACTTGGCTGAGTTTAGCCGTTCAATAATCCTCTTTGAACCGTTTTAAAAATACTAAACTCCACTTTCGTTTAAAGTAAATTTCGTAGTAAATATATTTTACTATGGAGCAATTGTTAATTACTTAAATTAAATATTTTTTTAATGATCGCTTCCTTCCTACTCAACCAAAAACGTGACTCGCTTAAAAAAATACAAATCTTAAATTTTCTACTTTTTGCTGGAAATCGGGTAATTGATTCTATAAACTTTTTTGTATATCTTAGAGCCTAGTGTCACCTTTTTAAATAGTTTCTTCTTCTTACGGTACACTCTGTATAGCTACTTTTTTCATCAAATTTATTTTGTGAATTTGGTTGAATAGTTAAATTGTGAAAAACCCTCGAAATCAAGATAGGGGGAAATGTTAATAAAAAAACGTCAAGTGAGTTAGTTTATTTGTAACCAACCGAAGTAGTTCACACTTTACTGAATCGTATTAAGTGTTTATTTTTTTGTTTTTATTTTTCGAGAAAACAATGTTTTAAAAATATATTGAATATTCATTAATTTGAAGGTACATAACAGATCGCAAAGTTATTAAATGATGCGAAATTAAAAAAAAAAAAGAACATGAGCATGATCATACTATTATCAACCAACGAAAATTCATCTTCAACCTATAACAAAGATGAAATAAATAACTTATCTGCTAAACTAAAAAAAAGGTATTTGTAAATAAATAAATATTTATAATGCAGTTTTATTCACATTTCGTCATTCATCATTATTTTTATTCGTAAAGTATTAAGAGGTTCAAGTATACTATTGCGCTTTAAAGAGAAATATTACCGCCAGCAAACTTGCTTTCAATTTTAAATAACTCGAAAAAAAAAAATCAAAATAGCTCCGAAACCTTAGTCAATCGAATGTTATTATTATTTTTTTTTATATTATAAAATGTAAACTTTTTGTATTTTTCATAATGTGACACGTACATTATGTTAACATAGATTTTTAAATGCAAATGAAAAATAGTGTGAGTCTAACAGATAGAAAATAAACCCGCTCAATCACAATGACCCCTTGACCTTACCACCCCTTCCTAACACTGAGGTCTAAAAATGTCGGTATGTCGATATTTTATATTCAACTTTTCTGATTAATATTTGAAAGTTTCTTTTCTTTAAGAATTTAAACATTATACCAGTTTTCTTATCGGTGTTTGGATATGAAAGCCTAAAGTCGACCTCCATAAAAGAAAAATCTTTTCAAACAACTCATGGATATAGTTATTGTAACTAATATTCATAAATTTTGCAAGTAGTTCAAATTAAAAAAAAAATAAAAATTCATCTTTATTATAATTATAACAATTAAACGACAAAATAATCACTGCTAAAATCGCAAGGATATCAATTCAAAGCGTAAAGAGATGGTACTGTTGAGGTATTAGAAAAGACCGGCTTAGCCAAATGTGGGTCGAGACAGTGCTATTATCGTCTTCTCCAAATAGGCCAGGCACAAAAATAAATCAGAGCTATCTTGTCCAGTAATTTACTATCAAATCGTACGTATGGAAGAGTATGGAGTGACGTGAGGGTGGCTATGGTGACGGAGAATGTTAGTGAGACGTTCCATAGTGGGGGGGGGGGAGGTAGTGTACTAGCGGGGGGCGAGACTGCGCCGGAGCGGGAAAAATCAATCTAGTCTCGGGAACGGGACGGGAGCGGGCGGCAGTCGTGTCATGGGGACCAGGGGCAGTGACTCGGGGCTAACAGTGTAAAATTCCACCTCACAGCATGGCCTCGGTCGCCGCTTGGCTTCCGTTCGCACGGGCGGCGGCCATCGGCTGGGTACCCATAGCCACCCACCCCCTTCCTCCGCCTCCCATCCCCAAGGATAAGAGGAAGGCAGACGATGAAAAACTTCTCATCAATGTTTCAGGTCGCAGGTTCGAGACCTGGCGTAACACATTAGAAAAATACCCAGATACCCTTCTCGGTTCTAATGAGAGAGAATTTTTCTATGATGAAGAGTGTAAAGAGTATTTTTTTGATCGAGATCCGGACATATTCCGTCATATATTGAATTATTACCGTACTGGAAAACTGCATTACCCGAAACACGAGTGTCTTACAAGTTACGATGAAGAACTCGCATTTTTCGGGATTCTACCAGATGTCATCGGCGACTGCTGTTATGAAGATTATAGAGACCGGAAGCGAGAAAACGCAGAACGGTTGATGGACGACAAACTGTCGGAGAATGGAGACCAAAATCTCCCCCAACTGACCAACATACGACAAAAGATGTGGAGGGCTTTCGAGAACCCCCACACCTCTACGGCGGCACTGGTATTCTATTATGTCACCGGTTTTTTTATTGCAGTTTCGGTGATGGCTAACGTTGTAGAGACTGTCCCTTGCGGTCACAGGCCAGGTCGTGCCGGCACACTCCCTTGTGGTGAAAGATACAAGATAGTATTTTTCTGCTTGGATACAGCCTGTGTCATGATATTCACAGCTGAATACCTACTCCGTCTGTTTGCTGCTCCTGACAGATGCAAGTTTGTGAGAAGTGTGATGAGTATAATCGACGTCGTAGCCATTCTGCCATACTACATAGGCCTTGGAATCACTGACAACGACGATGTCTCTGGTGCTTTTGTCACGCTACGAGTCTTCAGGGTCTTCAGGATCTTCAAATTCTCAAGGCACTCCCAAGGTCTCAGGATTCTCGGTTATACTCTCAAGTCGTGTGCCTCTGAGCTCGGCTTTTTGGTATTTTCCCTAGCGATGGCTATAATTATTTTCGCGACCGTAATGTTTTATGCTGAGAAAAACGTAGAAAGCACCAACTTCACTTCTATTCCAGCTGCCTTTTGGTACACAATTGTCACCATGACCACCTTGGGGTAAGTAATCATATATGATTTATAGAAACAGGTTTTTGATAGCTGAATTCTGTTAAATATTGGTACCTTCAATTATTTCAGATTGAGCATTTGCAGGGATTGATGTAAAATGTAGTAAAATGCATTGACTGCTTACGTGAATCAGGCCCGTACAGCCTCATATTTGCCCACCATTTTACAATCATAACTAAGATGATTTTTTTACTGGCACAAGTAACAATGGAAAGACACTTTCCCCGTAGTCACATATTTGATCAGAGCTGACCGGAGGAAACTGTGTCACTAGTTTATGCCAACCTATCAAAAATATTGTGGAAAAATGTCTATATATCTATTTATTTTTACTCATTTAAAGCTATAAATCAACCAAAGAAGCTTATCTTCAAACTTGATAGCCATGAAAATTCCAATATTATTAAATATATTTTTTTTAACATTTCACATTGAATTAAATAAAGTTTGCTAGAATTTTGTTGATAAATACCATATTAATTATTTATATAATGTGATTGATAGCAGATATGTATGAGGCAGGCTGCTTTTAAGTGCTAACCTGTTGCTGATATGAGCCTGTGCGGATGTACGGAGGAACGTAAGCAGTGGCCCAACTAAGTAACCTTCTGCAGGAGCCGCAATGCAGAACACCAACCGATGCTCCATCAAACTCCAAATCCCATCTTCGGACCAGCTGCATGGTATTCATCGAATGTTCACTGAAATTTTGAGTTAATATTCGACTTGTAAATGCGTATTATTACCACAAAATATATTTAAAGAATTCTACAATATTACGTGTAGCTATTAACAATATAACAAATTATGTGTATTCGTGTCTACAATTATCATAGTTTCAGGGTAATAAACATAATATTTTTACTATATTTTAAAAGGCATTATATATAAATTTTTTTAACATCAGTGATTGTTCATTTTGTTTTTATTTTCACTTGGCCATATATGGAATACAAAGTAAGGGAAAGTTCCCCGATCGTGGACAATTTCAAATACATGTTTTTAACAGAAATCCATGTTTTAATATGTAAAATAAATAACCAAGTCCCGCAAAAAAATCTATGTGTGCGTCGGTTTTATGTTTCTGTAAACAGCATAGCTCAAAAGATGTGCTGAAATTACATACTTAGGAATACTTGGGATGTTACAACAAATGTTTCACTAAAATCGACTTGCCGGAAGTGCCACTTTTTATCATAGATTTTACACATTTCAACAAATTTTTCGTTGGCGCATATTATTTATTGAAAATAAATACTACGAAAAGTAAGAAATGACTAATCAATAGTTGTGACTTGCAAATAGCTTATTTACTACATGTATATACAGAGTTTTTCAAGGTTGTGTCCTAACTGAAAATATGAACCAAGGATCTCAAAACAAGAAAAAAATTCCCTTTAAAGTATACGCGTTAACGCTTTGTTTCGGAGATATTAGATAGATAAGGAAGAATATGAAAATTATTTTGTTCCCCTAACTGTAAATTGAAATATTGACAATGAAAGGATTAATACTATTTGGAACTGGCAAAATTGTAATTAACTCTCAATTAAATTTAACAGTTTGTTTGACGCTTTCGCAAAATATGACTTTATATTATTTATAGTATTTATTCTAATCGTGAATATATCGATTTGGTGTTCGCGTACGGATTTTGCAATGGTAATGTCATTGCTGCCCGTTGTGAATACCCCGTTCAATTTCCGATTAGAAGATTAGAAAGTTAGTCCAGGGCGACTGCTGCTGAGGGAGAAACATCCAATCCAGTCTTAATCATTAATGTATTAACTTTGAACAGCCATTAATACGAATGTTAATGATTACATTTCATTAATAATGTAGTTGGAACGCATATTAATTTATTTATTATCAACTAAATAATATTACATATATAGGCATTTCGGATAAGTGTAGGATTAAACTTTGGAAGACTTAAATTCTCTGTACCTGACCAAATCACATCAGCCTCATCCAGTGATAAAGGAGAGGAAGGAAACCTCTTTCCCCCAAAACAGACCAAGTGAAATAAATTGTTTTATCAGCTTTCTCTTCAGTTTTCATCGTGAAAAATCTACCTGTGGAGCTAATATAGGGAATATTTAATTATACATTTGTCTGATTATTAGAAATAATACTGTCTATATGTACGTATATGTGTGTGTATGTACAGGATGTCCCGTAAGTGGTAATAATAACAAACCGGACATTGTATTAATTGATCGGAAGACACAAAATGGGTATGTCATTGATAAAGGGGTCCCAACCGATGGTAATATCAGAAATATCAAGATTTGTGCCAAGAGCTTCGGCAACTTTACTGACTGAATCAAGAGCAGTTATACCCAATTGTAATTGCCAGCAATGGCCTAATCCCAGACGATTCCATTCGCTCTGTCGAAAATCCGAAACTGACAGAGAAAGTGTTGGAAGAAGGGCAATAAGCAATTCTCCTAGGCACAGCGAGCATCGTCAGGAAGTTCTTGAACATAGTTTAACTTTGAGCCTAACCCTTGACCTTGGTCCGGGTAGGTGAATATTTCTGGCAATAGCCAAGAATATGTGAAATTCGAAAAAATAATAATAATGCTCTATTTATTCTGGGACGAGTCCCTTTAGAATAATACAGAAAGACAGGGATGTGGGCTTAGGAGCCTCAGAGATACATAAACCAAAATACATATCAATTAAATAGTCATAATAAAAGAAATTATAAGTTATTTTCTAACTTAAATCAGTTGATATTAAAAAATTGAAAATAAACATAATGAAGTTTTATATGAATGAAAAAGTAAAAATAATGAAGAACGATCTAATAATTTATATACGTATTTAGAGTAGTATCTATTTACAATTTTTTTTTTTTTTTTAGAACTTATTTATTGAAAAATATTACAATCTGTCTTTAGGACATTTATAATAGAGTTCACAGATCACATTCACACTCTATGTACAATAAATAAAATAAATTATTTTTTATTTTTCAATTTTATGGGGACTGGATTGATAAGAAATGATTGGATAGGCGGGATTTAAAGGTAGAAAGGGCATTGGATTGACGGATGTCTGAAGGGATGGAGTTCCATAAATATGTTGATCGGCGGGTCCTTATGTATAAATCAGAAGACTGGGAACGAGTATTGCGGGAACGAACAGAGGATTTGAATTGAAGGAGCTCGGAGATGTATGATGGGCGGTGGAATTGGATGACTTGAAAGAGGAAAATAATAAGTAGACAGAAATATTTAAAGGGCTAGTAGAAATGAAGGACTACAGAAAAGTTCATACAAACAATAGCCCAATTTTCAGCAGAAAAGTAGGACATTTAAGTTTTTTTTTTTGTAAGTTACGTTTTTTGTTGAATAGGAAGCGATAACTAAAAAATACCTAATTTAAATAATCAAGGATTGCTTCACAGTAAACTTGACAAAATTTATTTCAAATGGAAATAGAGTTTGTCATAGGTAAAACCACTTAAAGAGGAATTTAGAGCGGCTAAATTAAGTACTACCGGTGTTTTCACTAAAAATGACGGCAATAAATTATTTAATTTATTCAGAACCTAGCTTTTAGTTAGCCGCTTAAATGGTTTTATCAAAGACAAACTCTATTTCCATTTAAAGTAAATTTCGTCTTGTTTACTCTTGAGCAATTGGCTGTTACTTAAATTTAGTATATTTTTAATTGCGGCTTCAACAAAAAACGTGCTTTACAAAAAAGAACTGAAATTTGCTACTTTTCTGCCGAAAATCGGATCATTGTTTATTTGAAGCTGTTTGTAGCTGTTGAGGTCTGCTATGACTCCTATAAATATTTCTCTGTGAATTGACAGGGCACCCTGGATAATAATTGCTCCTACATTATATATTCTAATGAAAGATATTTTATATAATTTAGAATGGAATTTATTCAAGTTGAAACCTGGATTGGTTGCTTGGATTTCATGACTGAGTAGTCAATGATTCTCCTTAAAAGGAAGGCGACCTCTCCTCCTCCTTTAGTCCTTGTTCTTTGTTTTGGAGGCCTCGTGCCTTTGGACCAACCAGGGGAGCTTTCAACAAATTTCTTCTCCATTTCTCTCTTCTCCCCCTTGTAATATCAGAGGATTAATGGGGCACTGGAACTTGTTTATATGCTCTCCTCTGACTAGAAACATATCCACAAATATAAAGAATTACGATTTGTTAGGAAATATTTTGGGAAACAATTAAAAAATAAAAATAGTTTTAGTGATTAAAAAACAAATTAATTTAAATTTTTAATGTTTTATTTACTTATTGCTTTACCCCTAAATCATAAATGTGCAAAATCACAAATTTATATTTTTCATAGATCGATTATTTAAATTTTACAATCGAAATGAAATCACAAATTATGAGCATCCACTCTCTGAACATATTGGATATTATTTATGTATTCATAAATTGTGTTATTTCGTGCATAGATAAACGATTAAAAAAATAAATGATCAGTGATTTGAAACATTTATTAGAGAATTTTCAACATTTATTTATAATTAATATTTTTTTCATTACTGATCACTTATTACATTTATGGGAACGGTTTGGAGGGTAGTGGTTAGTAATATATATATATATATATATATATATATATATATTATTGTGTACATATACAATATAATAATAATATGTTTAACATTAAACATTAAACATGAGAAATTCCGAATGTTCCTTTCTATTGATAAGTAATGCATAATCTGATAAATGAAGGAAGAAATGGAAAAAGGAAATGTCTATAAATTGGAGCATTTACAGGACGAAGGCATCAGAAAGTTGTTACAACAGAAGTTAAAAGAATTGACTTTTTTTCAAAATTGACGGGAATAGAACCCAAGAAATCTATATATTTCTGACAGGCTCAATAATGAAAATTACTCTTGAAGATATGTTAACATGTGAAAAATATGTAAAAAATTATGGCTAACAGTATATATACAAAATAGAGTTGAGAAAATAAAACTGCAAGGGAAT